ACAGACAGACAGACAGACAGAGACTGGGTCTTGCATGGACTTTTGAAACCTGAAAAGCCCACTCACCTCAGTGACACACTTTTTTCCAACAAGGCCACACCTCCTAATCCTTCTCAAAGAGTGCCACTCCCTGATGAGTAAATATTCCAATATATGAGCCATTCTTATTTAAACCACCACAGCCTCCAAGGCCTTGGTGACATCCCATGCCTTTCCCCTCTGCCTTCTTCTCATACCCTGGGTTCTCTCCATTACCAGCAGCTGGCCTGGCCTGGGGCCTTTTACCAGAAGTCTGCTAGACTGGCTCTCGTTCACCTTCAACTTTGGGTCAACCATCTTGTTTGCAGTTCTTGCCTCTCTCACCCAGAGGAGATGCTCTAAGACAGCAGCCATGCTTGCCAAGCACGGGTGTCCCCTCCCTGCTTTCTGTCTGCTGTGATGGAAATAGATGTCCCCTGCCACATGCTCTCACCCTCCTGATGTGAGCTGCTCAACCATACCTTCTCCCTGCACTGGACCTGTCTTCCAATAGTCTTCCACCCACAGCCTCCATATGCACTGGTTCACAATGCTTCCCATCCTTTGGGTCCCATCTTACTTCCCTCAGAGGCTCTTTTATCACCAGCTCAGCATGTTTGTGAAACACACGTGTGGTCCTCCCTGCATGCCTCAGAGCACATAACAGTGCGGCAGACTGCAATGTCCCCTCCAAAAGATAGGTTAGTCGCCTGATTCCGGTGCCTCGAGCTCACCCTTCTGGATGAGGATGGACCTTCTACCCAATGCGTGATAACAGAGGCTGAGATGGGAGGGAGGGGACAGAAGGTCAAGGATTGCCAAGGCCCCGGGTGGAGGCAGGAAAGAGGCTCCTCTAGAACTTTAGGAAGGGGCGTGGTCCTGTGACAGACAAGATTCCCAGGCTCCAGAAATGTAGAGAATAAATATGTATTGTGATGTCATCCAGTTTGTGACCATTTGCTGCTGCACTAGGTCTGGAAAACCACATGCAGCTTGCGAGAGAGGCTTGCCCTCCCTGGGCTTCGGGGCCTCCTTAAAGACCCCAGTAAAGCTATGCAGAGCCCTCTGCCCCCCAGGACACACCTTTGCACGGTTGCAACCATTGAGCTGCAGGGGAAGACCTTGCCACCTTCCCTTCAGCTTAGACCACTGCCTCCATCCAGCTCAGAGTCCCCACTATAAGACTGGTTTTTCCTTGTTTCTTGGAAAGCACCTTCAGGACTCATTCAAAAAACAAACAAACAAACAAACTGTGAGTTCTGTGCAGGGCCTATTTAAAGCAAATCACCAGCTCCAGTCCCAACAACAAGCTGCTTGGGTCTTAGCAGACAAGAGTAGAGCTCTGTGTAGACACAGGCTGCCGGCTGGGGAGGTCCCCCAGCACCTGGTCAGCGTGTTCCTCTTGCTCACTGGGTGGCTGCCTCCCCATCACATGGCCCCACATGGGAACAGAACTGCACAGTGTCGGGCTGGGGTGCCTGAGCAGCTTTGATGTAAGATTTAGTGCTTTGGCAAGCAGGCAGGCTCCGTTGGAACTCATGGTGACTTTTACCCAGAATCCCCAACCACTGGTTCTAGCTGGGCTGAGGTGTCTGTGGAGCTCTCCGGGACCCCTCAGGGCACTGGGCACAGAGAGTTCCTGGATAACCGAAGTCTGGGAATAGAGCAGAAGGCTGTACCTGGCTAGGGCTCAGCAGAACCAAGTGCTTCTTTTAGTCCATCATTGGAACATTGTCTTCAGTGGGCTGCGGAAGCGAAAGGACCGATAGCCCGATACTTCCTTCACTCCTCAGCTCTCTCTCCTCTCCCTCCCCTCCTCTCCCCCTTGCTTTCTTTTCCCTTCCTTTTTTTTTTCTTTCCTTCCAGACAAGATCTTGCTATGTAGCCCAGGATAGCCTTGAACTCACTTGGTACCCTCAGCTGGCCTCAAAGTCAAAATTCCCCTGCCTCAGCCCAAGTCCTGGGATTACAGATGCGTACTACCTTGTCTAGCTCACTCATTGTGTATACTGTTGAGCCCATCTTTCTTGAAGATTTATCAAACTAGGGGGGAAAGGATGGATGAATAAAAACAAATTGACCAGGTAGATGAGCAAATAAAGCAGCTGTTTAAGGAAACCCTAGAGTTGAGACAGACAAAGGGCCCTTCTGAAAAAGCTGCACTCAAGCTGCGGAGTTCAAGGAGACGAAGGTGCAAAGGTCCTGAGGCAGGACAGAGTTCTGCCAGTGTGCAGAGATGCAGTGAATGGAGACACACAGTGAGAGGGGAGGGGCTGGGGAAGTGGGCGGGGCCAGACCAGGCTGTGCTCTGCTCCACATTTGGGTTTTACGTACATACAACAGGACACTACAAAGGGGGTTCAGTGGAGAGTGGGGTATATGGACATGATGACTCTTTGCCATCCTTTTCTCTTCTTCTGCATCCCATCTTCTGTCTTCCTCCCCCCTCCCCCTCCATCTCTTCTTCTCTTCCTCCTCCTTTTGCGGGTGTGTGCACGTGTGTGTGTGTGGGGGGGATTGTACCTGTGCACCCATGTGTAGAGTCCAGAATGGGGTATGTGCATGTTGGGGGGCACTGTACCTGTGCGTGTAGAGTCCAGAGTGGGCTTCAGGTGTCTTCTCAATCTCTTTCCACCTTAATCTCTGGCACTGTTTCTCACTGGACCTGAAGTTCACCATTCCAGCTAGACAAATGAGCCAGCAAGACCCCAGGATCTGTCTGTCTGTCCTCCCAACTCAGCATTGTGGTTATGGACACACACCATAATACCCAACTTCTGTGTGGATACTGGGAATTAGTCCTCATACTTTCAAAGCCATCACCTTACCCATCAATCCATCTCCCCAACTCCTCCATCCCTCCATCTCTCCTTTCCTCCTCCAACTTCCCTTTCCTCACTTCCTTCTCTTCTCCCTTCCTCTCTTCTTTCTCCTTTTCACACAATCCCCTACCCACACAGCTTGGTGGAGAGTTGGCTACAGGTTGGGAGTGAGGTCTCCTTTTCACATGATAGGGCCACCCCTTCGTCTTGTGATGACCAGGGGACAGTCCCCAATGGCTGGGGTCCCCACAGGTGGACAGCAGGCTGTAAGCCAGCTCTCAGGGCAGTGTGTACATGGTAGTAGCGGTGGTGGGGAATCAAGCCATGACTGTAGCACCTACAGTTTCTGGCGGCTTGGTATTTTTTGGTGTTTGTTTGTTTTGTTTATTTGGGTTTTGTTTTTTGAGACAGGGTTTCTCTGTGTGGTTTGGTCCCTGTCCTGGATCTCACTCTGTAGACCAGGCTGGCCTCGAACTCATAGAGATTTGCCTGACTCTGCTCCCAAGTGCTGGGATTAAAGGCGTGCACCACCACTGCCCGGCTTGCACCTAGAGTTTCTGTACCATAAACTCTCCCATCATGGCCACTTTCTAAGCTAGCAACCATTCACAGGCTTTGAAGTTGTGGTTGGTTAATGAGTCAGCTGTGAGACAAGGTTTCAAGAGGCTGAACCATCTCTCTAGTTCAGCACCTAGTTCAAAGCAGAGACTCCCTTCTGGAAACATCGTGAAGGATCTCCGTGATTCATCACATGCTGAAGTATCTGGATGTTAACCTCAAAGCTGAGTCTCCTACACAAGCAGCTTCTCTGCTGACCAGGGAGGCCAGCCTGTCACAGCATTTCTGTGAGGGGACTGGGGAGTGAGGGAACTGGAAGTGTCTCTCTGGCTCTGCTGCTAATGAGCCCAGTGACCTCAGGCAGTTACCTAATGTCCCTGGGTCTCCCATCTCCCTATCTTCAAGATGAGGAATGGATGACCTGACCTCCACTCCTCGGGAACCAGCTGGTTAGTAGGCTGCAGACTGGGCGCATCACCATGGTTCCTGGACTGGCTTCAGGCTGGGCACTGGTGCAGGGAAGTTGGTCGCTGTGACAGAGATGTATTTCTGCTAAGCTGGAGCCGTTCGTCACTTGGCTTTTCTCCAAAGGCTATGACTCAGCTGAAAGTCATGGGAACAGAGTAAAGGTGGACAGGGACAGTTCCAGGAAAGCTGTGAGAATCAGTGGTGGGTGGACATGGGTAATTCAGACCGCCCCCCAAAATCAAGATGGCTGCCAGAGCTGTGTCAATACCTCAGTTTACCACCACACGGAAGGCTCTTTTTGGATTCCTCTGGTCAATAAAACTGTGTTCAGTGACTGTGGAGTCTGGAGAACTTCCTTGAGTGTCCCCTAGTGCCCCTCCTATGGGAAGGTCCCCACACAGTTCTGTGACTTTGTGGAAGTTTGGTATGTCGACTACTTGAGACCATGTAGCCTGAGAGGTCAAGAAGGGAGTCTTTACCCAAGACGCTAAACCTATCCTTGCAGGCAAACGTTTATTCACACACACACACACTCCCCAAGATGCCTTCCCTGACCTGCAGGCAGCACCCCTCACATTCTGTTTCATGACCTGTCTTCTTTCTATTGGGAGACAGAGGCTAGGCAGGGCACTGGAGATATTTAAAAGCCTAGGGCTGGGGAACTGACTCTGTGGGTAAAATGCATGCTGTACAGGTACAAGGACCTGAATTCAGATCCCACCATCCACTTAAAAGCTTGGTACACATCTCAGGGCTTCATGATGGGTGAGTCGAATCTAGCCTAGGTTTGGTGAGAGACGCTGCCTCAAAGATAAAGTGGAGAAACAACTGAGAAAAAAGTAAGACATGTGACATATGTGGACATCTGGCCTCCACATTCACATGCATGGGCAAGCACCCCTGTATATGTGTGTACACACATACCACTACCACACTAAATAATAATAATAACAACAACAGCAGCAACAATAATAATAATAATAAATTTTAAATTCCAGACAACAAATCTTCTTCCTTCTTCAGTCCATCCTCTCTCCTTCTCTTCCTTCTCCGGCTGCTCTTTGGCACATACAAGAAACATGAGGTGTGGACACACGAACTACTACGGTACCTTTGTTCACACCCTCGGCACCTTATATTGATAGATATATATTATTAAATATATATAATGTTCCCAAACAGAAAGGAATGCTGAGGGTAACCATATAAACGCAGCTTAAGCTGAAAAAAGAACCCAGACCTGACAAGTCCCAAAGAGAAGCTTGGCTCCATGGGACATGGGGCTCTGGGAGGTAGCTGGCAAGGGACACAGCTGGCATGGGGTGCTCATGCTCAGTGCAAACATCCTCTGGCATCCAGCATCTGTCCCCACAAGCCATGATTCCAATTTGCTTCCTGTTTCCAGCCCTCCCAGGAACACATCTAAAAGACGTTTTGTTTCCATCTCCCACCTCAAAAAGCACAGATTTACAAGTGCGTCTTCCTGGAGAGATGGATCCAGCCCGATCCAAGACCCACAGGAAGGAGCAAATAGACCCCACTGGGAATTTTCCATCACCGTCACTGTATTTTTTTTTTTTTTTATTCCCAAGATAAATGGGATTTTACTTATAGGACTGAAGGCTCCATTATTTTTCGAATACTTTTAGCTGCTGCCAAGGAACCAAGAAAATTGGTTGTGCACCTGGCCAGCTGATCCGACCTCAGAAGTCACCTGACCTCATGAAAAGGCTCTCATTTTTCTCTGTTTTAACAAGCCTGCCATCTCCTCTTCCTAGCGGTGTTCACATGTGGGGTGGTCATGGCAGGCATGCACACAGCCAGAGATGACTGATCTGTCACTGTTTCTCCGATCGTCCTCCAGGAGGGGTTTCTATTCCAGGACAGGACTCCTGGGAAGGAAAAACATTTATATAGAAACCTACATCTAAGGCACTAAAAAACAAAACAGTACATCACAACTAAGATTTTAATATTTTTGCATATGTGTGTACATCAAAAGGCTTCTCAGAGGCAG